ATCTCTTTTTTTGAAAGAAGACATAGACTTTTTGCATTAACCAGTACAAATAATTCAATGTAGGTGTTTCAAGATTGGATACTCAAAATATAACTTAACTAAACTTATTTTCTGTCAAACCATAATGTGTGCAGCTTAAGCGATAACTAATTTGCTATTTCTCAACATTTAATTTGCTATTTCTCATGATTTAATTAAAATACCTTTACTTTGGGGGCTCGCTCTCCATAGAAAAGAGATTGAAAAATTAATATCTATTTGGTGCTTAAGACGAAGCCGAACGTGTTAAAAAAAAAACCTCAGAGTCACTATATAGTGTACATACTTACCACACATGATGTCATGTCAAAGAAAAGAAAACAAATCTGATAGTAAGTTTAGGAAATGCTATATATTACTCATAATTTGATGATAAACTTTTAACGCCATGGCAAACAAAAACCGAGAACAGACACAAAGACAATCAACGTTAACAGTATACAAAAAAAATGAAACCGTGGAAAACATATTATGTTAATTGAAACTCAACTCAGTGTCTTTGCCTGTCCCTTGTTTCTCTTATTTTTTGTCAGAGCGTAACACTTTTTCTGACACTGACTACTCATCTGGGTATGAATTGAATATAATGTACTGTCTGCATAGGAAAACCTAGCAAGTTTCTTTCAAGAGGAACACTTTATGCAAAACAATGAAAAGAAAAACAAAGTTCAGAGCATACACAATTCTGCCAGATGCGTGTTTCGTCTACAATAGACTCATCAGTGACGCTGAATCAAAGAGGCTAAAATGCCAATACAAAATTTAGGAGAAGTGGTATGATTGCCAATGAGACAACTATCCACCAAAGTTCAAATGAAGTGGATGTAAGCAATTATAGGCAACCGCACGGTCTTCAACAATGAGAAAAACACATACCGTGTGGTCGGCTATAAAATGTCCCGACATGAAAAATATGAAACAAATCAATTCAGAAAACCAACGGCCTAATTTATTACAAAACAGTTTACGAAAAACAAATATGACAGACATGAACCAACGACAACCACTGAACTACAGGCTCCTGACTTGGGACAGACACATAAAGAATGTGGCGGGGTTAAAAATGTTTGTGAGCGATCAACCCTCCCCTAACCTGGGACAGTGGTGTAACAGTACAACATAAGGACAAACTATTAAAGTCAGTTTAAAAAGGCTTAACTTATCAGATGGATACAAATAGAAATACATCTAACAAAAACACAAAGTGGACGTGGACGGGTACTTGTACATCCCAAAAACAAAAAAACACTAAGTACAGATCTGAGAGTACTCGCAGTTACTGACAGCTAGTTCAAAGCCAATAACAACTAATGAAAAAAAAATCATGTATCTTAGACTAAAATATCAATAGTACACGTCCAACATCTAATGGATTTAGTGTAAAGACGTCATTAACAGTCAGAGAAAAACATGATCTTGTGCAATGCCAAACTATAGGTATCGACAGATTGTAGTACCGTGAAAATACATATGTGTAATATTTAGTATGGTTTTAATTTACTGATAACAAAATCCATATTTACACCAATAAAAACAATATTTAAAGATTTATTTACAGTGTTGAATAGGTAACCTTTAAGAATAAGTTTATTTAAAGGATTGATAAGTTTACCCGGATCGTATCTAAATATCCGGGTTCGGTTTACAACATCACCGTAAAATTTAGGATGTGCTATTCCGTTTGAAATAAGTTTTCTACAGGTACAGCCAAACTTACACACCAAATATTTGTATCTATGGAAGAATTTAGTAAAGGTTTTTAGTAATTTGTGGTAACGAAATCCCTGACTTAACAATTTACAAGTAATACATAGACTACGCTCATCTAAATCCAAAACGTCACTACAGACACGAGCAAAGCGAACGAGTTGGGATATATAAACACCGTAATACGGTGCCAAAGGAACATCACCGTCCAAAAAGGAAAAAAATAACAACAGGGAAAGAAAAATCATCCCTTTTGTCGTAAATGTTTGTGTAGAGTATGTGGTGTTATACTGAAATATCTAAATCTAGGAATGGACAGTTATTGCTGTTCATATTAGATTTATTTAAAGTAAGTTCCTTTGGGTAAATTTCAGCAGTATAGTTAGAGAATTCTTGATTATTCAAAGAAAAAATATCATCAAGATAACGGTAAGTGTTGTTTAATTTATCAATTAAGTGGAATATAGACGCTTCTTTACTGAGTTTGGCCATAAACTGTGATTCATAACAGTAAAGGAACAAATCTGCTATCAAAGGGGCACATTTGGTGCCCATAGGAATACCTACAATTTGTCGATAAACTGTTTTCCAAAATGTACATAAATGTTGTCAAGGAGAAAATTAAGTGTTTTAATCACCTCATCACACCTCCAGTAAGTATATCTAGCATATTTACCTTTCTCATTAGAGAAAAAGGCTTTATATGATTTGCAGAAAATAAATTTGCAACCAGATTTATCAAACGACCATTGAATCAGATAGGAAAACTTTTGTGTGGAAGTGTAGTATAAAGAGTGGAAAAGCCAAAACTGTCAACCGAATCAAAATGACCATCAAATGCACGTTATTTATCTAAAACATCCAAAGAATTTTTTACACTCCAAAAATGGTTAATTCCACTGTTTTCATATGTTTTATTACGAAAATTAACGATAAGTTCTTTGATAGTAGTTAAAGAACTCGTTAAAAGCACCGAAAAATTAGTAGTAGAACACTTACATGTACTATGTCTGTTTGGGTCGCTTACCCAATTTTGTCAAATAACGGAACTATAAACAACTGGCATACAAGTGGAAGGTTTAGCTAGCTATAAAACCACTATTTTCTTTAGAAAATGCTTGTACCAAGTCTGGCATATGGCAGTTGTTTTTCACTTGTTCCATTGATTGATAGCGTTTGATTTTGTCAGTTTTAATGGACTTCCTCTTTATGAATTTGCCATGGAGTTCAGTACTTTTGTTATACTTTTTTGTTATTTGAGTTGTTATTTTAATTGCATTACCGAACAATCCGAACATCCACACATAGTTAACCACAGCACTGCTACAGCAGGGAATGCCATCAGGATAGGACCGGCTATTATTTCAACATCATAGCCCGTCATACCATCCTCATTTTCTTGAATGAAATGAGAAATGATAAATGCAAGTCCTATGCCTAGTGTTGGGAGGGCAATAGTTAACGCGAAACATATTGTAGGCCACCAAGGACTTCTAAAGTGCCGTCCTATAACCAGATATTATGAAGAAATAGTCTTGATTATATCATTATACAGGTCAGAGCTAACCTGTGGAGAGATGAATTTTAACGTTAGTTAATAAACATATAGACAATTATCAACACATTTATTTCTTGATCACTAATTTAAAAACAAGTTTTAGCCAAACAATGAAAAATCTACAAATTTCCCTGAGCGGGATTAAAATCTTTACCTTCATTGGTTCAATACTAAGGCATTCTGGAACATACTTCCACCTGAAAACAGGTCCACTACAACTTATATGACTTGTTTCCTCATGGAGAAGGTCTAAGTTCCGATTTCGGTTCACTATAAGTACAGCAATATATATATACATATGACATCAGCCTAGAAAAATGTCATCAACGTTGATATTTCTTGTTTGTCTTACCTTCAACTCATAACAGGTAATTGTTATTTCTGTTGAAATACTAGTATCAATAATATCTGTTTCAGTTCAGTTAAAATATTTGAGTCAAAAGATGATTGTTTTGTCATTATTTACATTTCAAAACACGTGTCTCTTCTTCAAATTAAAGAGGCGGAAGATATCAATTCAAAAGGGTATTTAAACTAAAGTCGAAATCGAAATGACAATGCCATGGCAAAATAAGACAAACAACAGTCTTCTGCTCCATATATGGCACCTGTTGTGTTGCTTATGTGAATACATACAAGTCTTAATCGAAAGGTCACATTCGAGGAAAAGAGGAAGGGATTGTGGTTACGACAATTGGAATCATACATCGTCGCGTGTCAAACAGATAATCCTTAACGGTCAACCAATTCGTGATGGCGTCCGTAACATTTTAGTTTTAAACGGATGGCGTCAACGTCACCACTTGAGCAACACGACGGGTGCCACTTGTGGAGCAGGATCTGCTAACCGTTCTTGAGCACCCCCATGTTTTGTTGGGGTTCGTGTTGCTTAGTCTTTAGTTTTTATGTTGTGTTTTGAGAAAAAAAAACATGTTTAACTGGTACGTATTACAATTAGTTGTTTGGGTAAATATGGTTTCAACAACTGAAACATCAATATTAATCCCTGTTAATGGAGCCCGTATGATGGCATCGAATCTTTTATAATATTTTGTATGAATTTGGATTCATTTGAAAACCAACAAAAGTCGGCTAGTAGGATTTAGTCTTTTGTAACCATTAAAATGCCGATTGTAAATTGAAACCATAATACATGTCCATATTTCACAGTGGGTTGTTTTCTATTAAGTGGGACGTCTTATGTTGAAATTTAGAAAGTTGTCAATAATTGGGGCTCCAGTAGAATACCCCCTTAGGTCACACGATTGCTATTAAAAATGCCCCAAATCACTATGTCACTTTAAAAAAGTAAGTATTTTAAGTAAGGTCTTGAAAATGTTTAAAGATCACAGATGTTTCAAAATGAGACGTCAAGTCCCAAGCTCGCCCGCCAAACCCCTAAATTCGCAGATAGGATAAAGTCATGTTGGAGGCAAATTATTGGTTGAACGTTAAAGCGAGACATGAAAATCGACATACCAATTACAGGTGGGGTCATGCTGTTAACGGTTCCCTAAAGAGAGTACCATTTTATGACCTTTCCGTCAGTTTTATTTTATTGTACTCTTTTATACAATTGTATTATTCTTTGTTGTTGGCTGTTGTATCATATAATAGACCTTGAAAATAATGCAGCTGGAACGATAAAACTTATTTATATACTTGCAAACATCACATTTACTTGTACTTATTGCAATTAAGATACAACACCTTCTGCTTCAATGGCTAATGCAAGCTTAGGAAGCCAGACGTTCATGTCGCCAGTGACATTTATGTAGGTAAATGATCTAAGATAGCCAGGTATCTCACATTCTTCTTTTAAAACTGGAATGATGACATTTTCTTTCATTTCAGTGAATAACTTCAATATAGCGAATTCTATTTCATATTGACACCAGTAGCTCTCACTATACTCCTTCGTTAAAATAAACATTGTTTTCACTGATTTTGTCATACACTACAAAAGTCAAAAAGTCTGAAAAGACCAGTTTTTGTCTGAATTTGCATGAATTTTTACTCGACATTCTTAATTTGTCTGAATAATTTTTAAAAATTCTTGACATAGTATGAATTTGTCTAATAAGGTTCTTGATTTTTCTTGACAAGTGTCTTGACAGTATGAACATTGTCTTAAAATTTCTCGACACTTCCTGTATCATCTGATAAGAGTCTGGATTAGTCTCGACCAATTCTTGACTGTCTTAAATTTGTCTCGATCTGTCTTGACATGTTCTTGACATTCTTAATAATGTCTGAATATGTCTCGACATATTCTTGATATTCTAAATAATGTCTGAATATGTCTCGACACATTCTTGACAGTCTTAAATATGTCTTGACACTATCTCAACAGTATAAATTTCGCCTGAAATGTGAACAGACTTATTCTGCACTGTTTATGACATTCTATTGCTGTTATATACATCTTTTTATTATGGCTAAACTAAACTTTGAAGAATCAAGGATTAATTTGGTATAGTAAGATACCCTTTTGGTGCAACTAAGTTGGAATACCCTGAATAATCCCCCATGTAGTTTAATTTTGATTTATTTTTATTAAACATTTAAGTAATTGTTTTCACTTGGAATATAAGTCGAAGGTATTGACAAACAGCATTTAGATTTTTGCCGTTCGCAAAACTGCCAGTCAAATTTGCTTTACTAAAATAGGTGTCTTGTATCTCTTTTGGACCCCACAATTCATCTTTTGGGTTTGTGTGGCTAAAAAAAGAGGGGGGGGGGAGAGGGGGGGGGGGGGCTTTCGTTTAGGTCAAAGAATTTGTTCCCATCTTGATTCAAAAACCTTATTCATTTTTTAGAACAACCCAAAAACATTTTTTTATTCAAATTTGAGTGTTGAATTTTATAATTTTTTATCAAAAATAAATATTTGTGATAACTCCTTCCTGAAAAGAAAAAAATGTTTAGATCTTTGTTATGCATGTCTGTTTGAGAACCATTTCATAAGACCGATGATTTCTATAGAAATCATTGATGGGACCCATTATAAATACATTTTTTTTATTATTCCTGGAGTAGATAATAATTTTCTTTTAATCTTTGGGAATTATTCAATTTGTTTGTATGTTAAAATAATTAACTTCATAATTTTGATGAAGAAAATCCATTTCAATTCAATTTTTTTTCATCAAAATGATGATCTTCATTTTCATCTATCAACAAACTTTTTAAATTGTAGTGGCATGGTCGGTCAACTGATAAGTTGTATGGCTGATTACAGGTAAAGCAAGAACTTCTATTTGACAGTTGCGTGTACTCTGGGGTGTGGAATACCTTAATTTTATGGGGAACATCCTGTCCATGTGTAATACTTAATATATTCCAACAGATGACATTACACAAATTTTTCTTCTGTTAAATGAATGATTTGTATATCATCATAATTTGCTATTTATATAAACCACATTTTGGTATAATAATTATTTACCATATCAACATTGAATATTATGAATGTAGAATGAAATATGTCTACAGTATGATTGGTTTGAATCATTTAATTTATAAGATTTAGGAATCAAAATTTGTAATTATTTAAAAACCCACATTGAAATTGTTTTATATCAACACACCCACATTTGAATTATTTTATACTTTAGATTTCATAGCCATATTTGCATTTGTAAAAATATTTATATACCCAAATTTTCAATTATTTTACATGCCCAACTTTTTTTGTTGTTGTAAAGAAGTGTAACTTGAAACAACAGTATATCATATAAAGAGAAATAAAGATTAAAGTTATATCATGAATATTGGTCATGATTTGTAAAACTCAGAACTGTCAAGTAAATTTAAGACACGATTCAAAATGTTCAGAATATGTCAAGCCATACTGAGAAAAAATAAGAATGTCGAGAATATGTCGAGAAATTTCAAGACAGTATTCAAATGTCAAGAATTTGTCAAGAAATTTTAAGACCATATTCAGGATGTCGAGAATATGTCGAGTAAATTTCATACAAATTTAATATAAATGAGAATTTGTCAAGAAAAATTAAGACACAAGTCATACTTTTGGAGAATGTCGAGTAAAAGTTCATGCAAATTAAGACAAAAACTGGTCTTTTCAGACTTTTAGACTTTTGTAGTGATAGCATGTTCTATATTTTTCGTTATTGTCTGTCTAGGTATAAAATCTGTTGAATGATCAAAACACTTAAGATTGTAATCACTTTGTAAGTGTTCTATTACTGTTCCAACCCAGGATCTGTCACTTTTGCTGTAGGATATAAACACGTGGAACTTTTTACCATCAGGAAGGACTCTTCTTTCGATTGGACGTTGTTCTTTTTCCTGAATTTCTGCCGCCATTCTTTCTGAACTAAAATAGAAAATTATAAGGGGACATGCTGATTATACTTCATCAATATTTTTCCTCAATTTTTCTCCTTTTAGATAAAAGGGTAGAACATTACAAATTACTTTATATGGGAAACCCCCTGTAAAATTATTACACAGGTCAAAATGTTATTTTTGTCACGGTAAATCATGCAGTTAGTCATATGTTAGTCATATGTCTTGTAAATATTCTGTAAAGATCATACATGTAATCAATGCAATTAAAAAAGAAATATAAAGTAAGGTAAACAAACATATTATATAATAAAAACTTTATACATGTACACTCGTGCATGTGTACTTGTCTATTACCGGTGTGTACGAATGTAAAATGATTGTCCGAGTGTCAATATAATATAACAGATACATATACAACGTATTGACTGAGTGAAAGGCCTTAATTTTTATATTGATATGTAAGTAATGTATTAGGAAAATGGCGTTTAATGTTCTTTCTAAGTAGTCTTATATTGTATCTCTACGCGGGTTATTCAGTGTGCACCACATTTTATATGTTATTTCTTCATAGACAAAAAAATATTACAGTCATTCCTTAAATAAACTTGCAAATTACTTTACGTCTGCTGCGGCGCTTCCTCCATGGTTGTTATGTGTGACGTCATGACGTCATTAATCTAAATTTAGCAAGATGTTTTTTATATTGACCGTCGATATACATATAAATAGAAACATAGCGTCAATTTACCTAAAAAGAAAAACAAGGCTTCGGATACGTAAAATAACCTTTGAAACACGTGATCGTAATATCCAATGGAAACACTAGAATGCTACACCATATGCAATATTTTTGAATATTGTTTTCATCGGTACTAACATTGATTTTTCTATCAATAAATTAAAAAAAATAGCTATATATGTACTGTTATACAGTTATCTTATAATTTTCTGATGAGTCAAACCCTTTTTGCCTGATTTCTGTCTCGCCTGCGACAGAAGTCGCAGAAAGCGAGACCTAGGGATAGTGATCCGGCAGCGGCGGTTGCGGTGGCGTTAACTAAGTACGGAAAAGCTTAATATTTCAAAAGGTAGAAGACTTTGTATATAGATGTCTTATTTTATGAAGTTTCCGTCTGTTGTCAATTGTCCTTGACATCATTTTCATGGTTCAGTGACTACTTGAAAACACAGTTTCTTGTAATGTAAATATCTCTCCTATTATGAGTAATTATAGGATAACTATATTTTGTATGTGTTTACCTTGCAAGGTCCACATGCCTGCCAGACAGTTTCACTTGCCCTAAACCTCATGTCATGGATCAGTGAAGAAGGTTAAGTTTTTGTTGTCAAGTCCGTATCTCAGATACTATAAGCAATAGGGTTTGGTGTATGTATTGATTGTAAGGTGAACATGTACAGCTTTCAGGTGTTATCTCACCTTGACCTCATTTTCATGGTTTAGGTTTTGTGGTATGGTATATTTCTCTATTATAAGCAACAAGTCAATTATATTTGGTGTATGGAACGATTGTAGGGTATACATGTATGTCTGGCAGGGTTCATATGACCTTGACTTTATTTTCATGGTTCACTGGTCAATGATAAGTTTTCGTAATTTTGTCAGTTTATCAGATTCTATTACCAATAGGTCAACTATTATTGATGTATGGAATGATTGTAAGGTGTACACTTATATCTGTCTTACACGGTTCATATGATTTTCACTTTATTTTCATGGTTCATTGGTCAATGTTAAGATTCTGTAGTATGATCTGTTTCTCGGCCACTATTAGCGATAGGATCACTATATTTAGTGTATGGAATGATTGTAAGATGTACATGTCTATCTGGCATGGTTCATCAGACCGTGACCTCATTTTCATAAAACATTGCTAATGTTTAGTGTATATGATACTTGTTGTAAAACCTTCATATAACAGACTTTCAACATGAAAAAAATAATAAGTAAAACAAGCGAGACATTACAGCGTGTGCACTCTTGTTATAGTTTGTTCTTATGTTGCGTTGTTACTACATTCCAAGGTTAATTGGGGTGGGGAGTGGAACCGGCAAACATGTTTTACCCCGCCACATTTTATATGATCAAAGCTACCTCAGGACTGGTTTTCCTGTACGCGACAAAATTTCAGAGAATTTAACTGTATTAATTATGACGTTACAAGATATGAGGTTAAATAATCTTTACGTTTTCGATCGAAAAAGTACATTCGAATTTATAATGATATCTGTCTCCAATTTGTCGATTGTTACATTTAACAAGTAAGAATTTAGTAAGTTTCCTGATAAAATTTGCCGCAAAAGCTTTGAGTGGGATTCCGTCTTAGGGATGGTGATGATGCTGGGGAAACTAGCTTTTGTATTTGAAGTCTTGAACTACAAGATACGAACGTGTCACATCAGACTAGATGCTTTCGTACCAATATATATCATATATTAGGCTTTAGTTTACGGATTGGAATCTAGATCACAGTTCACTCACATGCAAGTCGGCAGTCCAATCCAATAAACATAAACGAATTGGTAATTCTTTTAATAGCGTCCAAATATAATAAAACAGTATTACAAATCAGTAACTTTACACCAAAAGAAAATACATCTGCTTGCGTTAAAAATCCGAACACAATTCATGTGCTCTCGTTGGCATATCCAAACGGAGTCCCTGAATAATAATTTAACTTTCGTTAACTACCAAATCACGTTGCTAACAACAAAGTTTGTTGTCAAGTCATGTTGTCAACACAAATAGATAACGGATTGATTCCGTGTATCAAAAGAAGTATTTACACGCATATTTATTAAACATAAGGATATTTGATCAAATAGAAATATTGAATAGCCGAACTATTTAAGTTCATTCTTGACCATAAGTATTGACAACTAAAAAATTTACAACCCAACATGTTTAAGGTGTAAACAAATATTTCGGACAGTTAAATACATTGTGAATTTCGAGATCATTACTATGAATAAATTTAGTATTCCTGGTGCACAGGAAATGTACACTTTAATAAACTGTAATAGAAATCAACATAATTTGATAGTTTTGAATAAAAAAAATCAGCACAAAAATAATGTGTCACACATTGGTGGCAAAAAAAAACCGGTTTTCTCTTAATACGTTTGCCACCTTCCTGTTTCAATCGGCAATTTGTTATTAGTCGTTCGAAATCGACAGAGAACGATGGCATCTTTAAAGCCCAAAATATTTAAATATTTCTAAAATTCCAAGTTTTTCTTAAACCTTTTGTAGTTATTACCTTTTGACGAATTTTGGATTAGCGAATTTCAATTCTGAGAAAACAGGTTTAACGATCTTTGCTTTATAAGTGACAGTTTTTAACCAATTGTTATTGCTGACATTTTGTGTTTCCCATATTTTATGTGTTTTTGTTAAAAATTACATGTTGTAGTAAAAATAATCCCCAAATAGTTAAACTGCTTCACTATCATTATGTTAATGTCATTGTAAGAAAATCGGAGATTTTTTGGCAAACGTCCAGAACCAAACACTAATGTTTTCGTTTTGTTAACGTTTACTTTCAATTTCCAAGCCTTACAATAATCATAGTAGGCATTGAGTTCCGTCTGCATGTCCTGTGCTAATTCGACCAAAACACGGTGTCATCTGCGTATAATATAATAAAAAAAATATATATTTCTTATTCTCTTTCCAGATCTTCTGTTAAAGTTTTAAGTCCTGCAATACTTTTACTGACTAAGAAATTTCTTAGTCATTCAAAAATAAAGGAAAATAAGAACGGTGATCAGTTTTCTCCTTGTCGTAAACCACTGTCACAAGCAAAGTATTCTGTATTACAATTATTATAAGATACACTGTACATATTCAATATTACCTTATACATCTTACCATTTATATAAATCCAGTTAAAGGTTGTTTGATAACATCTACGTCAAACATCACACATTAAGGTCAGGAATTTGTCAAAACGAATAATCGAAAAAATTACATGCAAATTCTGTAAGTGTTTCAACAAGAGTTAATACAGGTTACCCGACCTTTATTTTACTCTTTTTATGTCGTGCAAACCCGTTGTAAATGGAATTTATGAAAGCATTGTGACGCGTTATATTATACAACGATTTCCAATGTTTATAATATTTATTTTGGCATGTTAAGATGTTCGGCGCATGGATAAATGTCTTACCATAACCAGAGACATATAAGATAACATATTCTTTTTTTTCAGACTCAAAATGTATATACATGTGAATACATTCAAAACGAAATACAACACAACATATTCTGTCTCAACAGAATAAAATGTTAAAATATGGTAACTATATAAATCCGTGGTTAGGTGTCTGGTTGGCACTGTGGTTTTTTTTTTATTTTGAGTGAATAAGTGTGCTATTTCCAAGTGTAAACCGGATACTATCAAGTGAAATTACATATGATCAATCGGTTTACTCTCAGTTTGCAAGAATATCAGTTTAATTCGTGATTGCCAGACTAACAATGATAAACAAGTTTTAGCACAAACAACTAAAAATTGCCTCATTATTCACCTAAAATAAAACTTTTTATTTGTTCAGTATTTTTTCCGCAGTCATAAAAAGGCAAAACCCAAAACTATATTATTTAATTGTTGAAATTTAACCCTTTTAAGTTAAGTGTTCATTTTATGTTCATATTACATTTCATCATAACCACGTAGTATTATTGTACAAGAACGGTCATTTGAATTATAAGGAGAGGGGACTCATATTTTTGTTCCTATATATATTTCTGACAGTTTAATAAATTTGATAAAACACATGTTAGAGACACTTCAAGTCTTCTTTCCGTGTAATTTAACGCCATATCAATTCGGAACATTGCAATCAGCATTTCCCGTTATATCATTAGAAAATCAGTTTCCACCACTCTGTAAACCTCGAATTTCAAATGTTGAACAGTTATCTATTCCGAATGAATACAGATCGTACTCAACGGAGTTGTGTGATAGATCAAATCAATGACAAATATAAAACAA